TTAAAAAAAAAAAAAAAAAAAAAAAAAACAAATTAATTTCTTTGTATTATAAATTACTTTATTAATTATCAATAAAAAAAAAAAAAAAAAAAAAAAAAAAGATTAAATGTTGCAATACGTTTTTATTATTAAGTGCCCTGAAAAGAAACGTTAAATTGAAATTCTGTTTATATATAAATGTACTGGATATTTTTAATAAATTAAAAAAAATTAAAGAAATGATTCAGTTAAAGAGTTTTTGTGAAATATTTTATTTTAAAAATAATTTTATTCAGTGTTTTTAATTATAATGATTTCATATTTTTATGCATAACTGATTTTTTCATGAAGTTAAAATACTTCTTTTATAATTTTAATTTTGAAATTACATTATGAGGGGAAATATATTTTAATATTTTTGTATAAATAAAAGTACATTATACATTTTCTTGGTATTATATGATACGAATAAACATAATTAAGATACAAAAAAATAAAAACATATATTCTTAAAAAAAAAAAAAAAAAAAAATATATTTAAATATATATATAAGAAAATATTTTTAATTAATCATAAAAGAAATATGCCTATAAAAGAAAATGAAGTATACTCTGAAATAATAATAAGCACAAAAGCGAGCCACAAAATACAAAAATACGTGGTTGAATGCATAGAAAAAATGAAATTGGTAATAAAGAATCATAGAAAATTTTCATTATTTTTTTTCAATAATCTTATTTATACATTTTTTTTTTTAAAGGGAAAAGTAAAAATAATAGGAAAGCAATATGCAATAACTAAAGCGTTTAGTGTGTTAGAAGTTTTAAAAGAACAAGTTTCGCAATTAGAATATTATATAAAATATAATAATTTAACTGTAATAAAAGTTCTTGAAATTATTTATTAAAAAATTGAAATATATATTACATGATAATTTTGATTATATTTTTATAGGTGACGGGACCAGATAGAAGAAAACTATTGGAAATTAACATATATGTTTCCTTAAAAAATTAAACTTTAATTTACCTTTTTATTAATTTTTTGTAATTTTCTTATTTTTATATTTTAAATAATTTTTACTATTTCGTAGAAGAGAAATTTTTTCTTTCAGACAAAAACTTTGATATTTCATTTATTAATTTTTAAATTATTTGAATTATTTGCATATATATATGTATTATTTTTTTTTTTTTTTTTTTTTTTTCTATGAAATTCTCA